ATATGCTATATAAATGGGGGGAGGGGGAGGGGGAGGGGGGCAAAGAAAAAAGCTACAAAAGTTCACGTACATATATATATATATATACCCAAGTTCCCCCGACTTGACTTACTCCCAAAGACCAGAAAAGAGACTCTCTCTCTCTCTCTCGCACTTCACCGGCAAAATCCCAGACATTTGACATTTCGAGCGAATCGAAACATACGACGTTCGAAGTTGGAAACCCAAAGAGAAATGTGCAAAGATATACACAGGCGCTACCTTCGCTGCAACCACTACGACTACGTTCTCGTCAAGCCGTGTCGCGATGTGCGCAGGGCGCTGGACAGGATTAATGAGCCGTGCTTTCATCTCGAGCAGGTGGGCGTCGTGCCGTATAGCCAGTCGGCGAGGTGTAGGTTGCAGACGGTGTATCAGGTTTATGACGGGTATTGTACGCCGTGTGATATGAAGAGGGAGGGGTGGAGGTTTAGGGGGTATGTGGCGGGGTGTGGGGGGTGGCCGAGGTATATGTGAGGATTTGGTAAGGGAGGAGATGATGTGCAGAGGTGTTGACTTTTACAATCTGAATATGCAATTCACATTATGTTGTTAGCGACTAACCGTAGACCTTATGCTCTCTCTCTCTCTCTTACTTCTTCTTCCCCAGCCCCAATGCAAGATGTACTTGTAAGTTCCACTCTCGCTACCGCGTCACTGCTCATATATACCAATCGCCGACTTCAAATCTACCGCCTTTCCAAGTTCAATATCTCCCAAAGAATCACCCACTCATCTCACCTTCTTCGCAGCCTGCTCAACAGACATATCCCCCGCATCACTCTGCAGTAAAGCCAGTGTAAAAAGTCCCGTCAGCGACAACCAAATGTTGCCCCAAACGCCAATGCCCATACTAGTATTGTAATGGCTCGGCAGCTTATAGTGCTGGTACGCCCCAATCCCCGTCGCAACGTGGTGGAAGATGGTCGCCGCGACAATAGCCTTAGCGTACGGTACCGACGAAAACTTCTTCGCCGACTCCGCGGTAAACGGGACGGCGTTGGTAAGAGAAATGAGGACGAGAGCGAGCGTGATGAGGCACCAGCCGTCGTTGCGCACGTTGTAGGTTTCGAGGTCGTTGGGGGCAAGGTTGAGTTGTGAGGGGGGACGGAACCCTTGAAAGTCATTGTTAGTTTGGTGTGGATTGGCTGGAAGGGGTACGCTGGTTGAAAGGGCGGGTGAGGTATACGTACATCCGATTACCATGATAGGGTCATATACACGGCACAAGCCACGCAGGCCGTACCAGAATGCTGTGCCGTACGCATATGCGTGGAAGACCTGGTAGCTATTATTAGACCCTTCTTTCTCTCTCTCTCTCTATATATATATCTTAGTCTGCTTTCTCAGCGGGAAATACATACGGTAGAGTTCATAGAAGGCATGTTTGTCGACGAAAGGTTGATTCGATATCGCAACGTTTGGGAGCGCAAGTGTACAAACTCAACTATTTAACTCTACTCTCCAATACCCTCCTCCTCCCGTCTTTTTAAATCATATTTGTTGGGAACTAAACCTCCTGGCCCAACATGCATGTTCCGCGACGTCATAATGAGAGCTCCATTGGCTCCATCGGTGTTACTCGTGCGTGAGTTGTAAGCCCAGCAGCCGCATAGAGGGGGTGTTTCCCCGCATAATCCGATCCAAGTGAGATGATCGTGCAAATTGTAGATTCGATGCGATCGCGCTTGATTGTTTTTGGGGAGCGGGGGCTTGTAGATTTCCCGCTCAATGGTTAGCCGCCGGATGGTGTCGGGAGCCAGATCTAAGGCAGATCGACTACAGATCTGAAGACGCCATGCTGTAGAAGATCACGCAACTAGTAATAGTGCAGTGTGGTACGTAGTCTTTGAGACATTCGGGAAGAATGCGTCTGCATGTAAACCTATCTCTTTCTCAACTTGCCAGGTCTGAAGCTGATAGCTCAAAGCTGAGCATGTTCAGTAGTACGATGACGACATAGTACTTCTTATCTTATCAGCTTAGCTGCTCTCACCAAGTTGCTTTTGTTTTCTCAGCGCAGCATCCTCGGAGCTTACGCCTTCCCGTGCTATGACCGTCCAGTTGGACCCTCGGCACGAAAGACGGTGACTACACGTTGTTCATCTCGGCCATTTAGCCGTGTCGCGATGCCATGGCGCCGCCTGGCTTGGTTTAGATGACACGTCTCGTCCACTTGTCGCACTACTTACCCACTGCAACTATTCCATTAACAATCAGTTTCAATCAGCCAGTTACGGCGGCATTTACTTCCATGCTCGGATGCAAGAGACGAAGAAAAGTGTAAGGGCAGGCTGGAAATGCCGGATGTGTCAACGGTGGGAACGTGGCAATACTGGTGAGATTCTCTTGACACATCTAGCTGCGAAACTCACAGAGCAAAGTTGTGATGCAAGAAACGAAGAGTGTTTGATAGAGGGCGTGATGGTATGGCGCATTGATCGGAACATATAGCAGTGCTAACAGCCATCTTCAGCAGTTTAGTCCGTAGCAACTAAACGTGAATCAATCCACCGAAACAATGCGCAAACACGAAAACACGATGAACTCATCTGCTTAAACGATCAGTCCGCTAATAGAACGCGTGGGTTAAAAGTTACCGATAAGAGCATGGGTGTCACATTTGCAGCGCTATAAATCAACGGCCAAAAGTATTATATTTGACCTCGTCACACCAGAGACGTCTTCGTAACCATGACGATCGACATATCCACACGGTCGTAAATCAATGCAATCGCAAAGCGCATCGCAAATCCTGATTGCATGCATAGTTTACCGTCACCACTCCCGCACATCAACGACACCATGCCACCTTCTTCCAGGGCATACGCACATCAGCGATTCAGCATAAACACACAATCTTGATTTGGCTTTCAACGGTTTCGTCCGTCCAAATCGGAGAGGTTTCTTTATTTGGATACCGTTGGACACCTCAGGAATTTTGCACATGCAGCCAATCACGCCTCAGCGGGTACATGGCATGGCGTGTTTCAGAATTTGGCTCGGCTGTACAGGGATCTAAGGACATAAAATTGGGTCGCTACCTGGAAATCAGGGGTACAGGCTCGGCAACGTGGGCAAAAGATACGGATATGCGAATAGGAAGATGGGAAAATCTCTTGTTGCACAACGCATGCGTGTGCATGGATTTGGCGATAAGAGCTGCCCACAGCCTTCGGCCATACAGTGGAATGTGTGGGTGGAGACACCTCAACGGTGCTAATTTACGGTACGACGCGTTCAAATTTAAGTGGATGGCTATGATGTCGAACCGAATTCTAGAATCCGTGCCATGAAAAAGGAGATATGCGGTGGGTGTGGCTTAGTATCAGTAGGCTGAGTCGAATCCTCCTGTGGCAATGATTTGACTGGGTCCCACCGCTCCATCCTTCTTCCTTCCACTTGTCTTGGTTTGCGGATCACTCATTTTTCTTAACGGCCTCTGCCTCGTCGTTTTCGACGATTTTCGTTCTTTACTTCACATTCCTTTGAAGCCTTTGGGTACTGCGTGCCACACTACATTCATTTCACAGCGCAAAGTCGTTGCTGCAACCTCATTCTTTACCTTTTGACGAGATTTACCTACAATCATTTTTCTATTGTTTTTTTGTTATTTTTCTAACCAATATGATACCACCCAATTTTGCCAACGCCATAACCGTCGTTCTTCAATCCGCAGCGATTGCTTCTCAACCACCCGCGCCAGCGCCTGCCACCTTACTCGCTACAGCCCCACGTGTCGCAGGATCCCTCAAAGCCAGCTTTCCTAACCCAAATCTCGCTCTGTTTCCACAACCGTTTTGGTGGTGGCAATCTGGTTGTGCCGTCGATGCGCTGCTTACATATACCGATGTGACCGGAGACCGCCAATATGAACCACTACTCGAACAAACCATTCTCAGCCAAGCGACACCAACCAATGACTTCCTCACTATCGACGCCACCGGCAACGACGACCAGACATGGTGGGCCCTTGCTGCTGCAACAGCAGCTGAGCTCAAATTCCCTGAGCCCCAGGGAAGTGTACCATGGATCGACCTTGCACGCAACGTCTTTGCGCAACAGAGAGAGCGATGGGGCAACGAGAAGAAGGGAGCAGCAGGATGCAAAGGTGGTCTCGGTTGGAAGATTGCAAAGGGCGACGGCAACGATGGCTTCTTCTACAAAAACAGCATTTCCAACGGCCTGATGTTCCAACTTGCTGCGCGCCTGGGAAAACTATCGATGGCCACCAACGAGACCGCCGCCAAGGAGGCGCAAGAGTGGGCGGAGAAGGTGTACGACTGGAGTCTGCATGTGGGGCTTGTGAGCGATCAGTTCGACGTGTTTGACGGCACCGACGAGAAGAATGGATGTGCGGATCTGAACCACAACAAGTGGAGTTACAACGTCGGCGTGTACATGTATGGCAGCGCAGTCATGGCGGTGCAGACTGGCGACGCGAAATGGGTCCAGAGGACAAGAGGCTTTATCCAATCCGCAAACCGCACGTTTGTGAATCAAGAGACTGGGGCCTTGTGGGAGGAGAAATGTGAGGGTCAGACGGGAGAGGAGGCTTGTAATACCGATCAAGTCTCGTTCAAGGGCCTGTTGGCACGGTGGTTGGGCGCGACGGCGGAAATACTGCCAGAGGTCAGCCTAGACGCAAAGGCGATTGTCAGTCGGGCTGCGACGGCGATGCTCGACGGAAAGACGGAGGGTCTGGGCCCGATTGACTCGTTCAACGCTGTTGAGATTCTCGTTGCTAGTCTCAAGACGCAGGGAGTCAAGGGAGAGGGTGGCATGATTGCACCGCGAAGCACAAAGAGGGCACGAAGGGGAATCGCATAAGCTTTCAGTGACAATTTATATGTAGACTGTCCAATATATTGTATCCTACTAGACTAAAGCAATGTGTATGTAAATATGCTACTGGGCATCATGTGATGATGTGTAGTGATGATGTGCACTACAGATGCCTCTGCTAAGATACTCTGAAGGAGTGGAGTGAAGTGGAGCATCAATCGTATGCCTACGACTCATGTAGTAGATCTCTACCAACCCATGAGTCGCACGCCTTCTCGTAAGAATCCAGGGCATCAAAGCGCCTCCTTCCATGTACCTTCCGACATCCATGCAAGTATGTGTGTGTGTGTGTGTGCTGAAGCGACGCTCGTTCGTCAGTTCTCAAACTGGCGAGTTAGCTGTGTTGCTTGCTCAGTGAGTGCCACGTAGCGAAGCCAACGTCCTTGCATTCTCTGCAGCGACGTCGTCACGATCCCTGAGCTCGCGTGAGCTGCTGCCCGTGTTGTGGGAAGAGGCATGTGCGTGCGAACTTGCGGAGCTGGATCCATCTTTCGGATGGGTAGTGAGAGAAAAGGAGGCTATTGTCTTATATACCCTGCCGGAAGTATAGTTTGTACCGCTCGCCAGCTCAACAATGTCATTCTTGTTGATGGTGGTGCCGGAAGTATTCTTTGCACCGCCAGCTTGCTCAGCAGTGTCATTCTTGTTCATGGTGGTCTTGGTTCGTCGCTTAGTGCCACGCTTCACTTCATCATCGCCCTTTGGCAATGGTCCATGCATGAGGGCAATGATCTCGGCGTCACGTTCATAGTCTGTGAAGGACGAGAATCCAAGAGCTGAAGAAGGAGCTGGTGCCTGTGGAGTCGTCGTCGCGTCGTTTGACGCTGGAGAAGGATTGACCGGTGTGTCCATGAGCTTCCTGTACTGAGCTGAGCAATTGAGAGGATCGTCAGTTATATAGTAACCAGGATAATTTAGATATATATAGTGCTTACCGAGCTCAGTGACTGCGTCGCTCTGTGGCTTCGAGGCTTTGTTACCCGTGTCAGAAGCATTGCCAATGACTTCCTCCTGGTCGTCCGCGAAATGGATCGTCTTCCTACGCTTGTTGACACGAGCTTGATGTTCAGTGTCCGCTTGACGACCGCTCTTGACCCATGCTCCGCGGTTGGCGTTCGCAATGGTGTTGGTCAATGTGCTCTGGTACATCTTGTGAGGTGCACCGATGATGGTCCACGCCTTTTCATTCTTCTATAGCGGCATTAGCAAATTGAGGCAGTGATATATAGCTCAGGACAAACAAACCATGAGGTTAGCAGCGACGTTCTTGGAAGTCTATAGTGACAGTCAGCATGCCGTTTGCCGTACGCAAACGAGTATCATACCTTGAGAACAGTGCAGATCCAGTCGATGCGCTCCTCAAAAGTCCATTCCTGAGTTTGACCGATGTAGTTGACCAGGTTCTTGTCGTAAATCGGAACCCTGAAGCCATCGGTGTGTATAGATTTGGCCATCCGCTACATGGCATGATCAGTAACATTTTTATATAGTTTCACAGTCGTGAACTCACAACGATATCCCAAGCACATGCCTCGATTGCCCAATCCTGATAGTACGACGCTTCGCCTGGGGTTAGACGTTTGCGGTAAGCGTTCTCTGCAGTATCCTTAGCCGTGGACATGTCTTTGAAAGACGACACAAGCTTCCTGATTACATCCTGATGGTCTTTGTCAGTCTGCGGGATAGTGCTGTCCGATACTGGTGCACGCCACTGGATGTCGTTCATAACAGCCTGTGCGTCAGCCATATTCTGGAAGTATAGGCCATTGACTTCAACAAGATTCTTGTCGAGGCATGCAGAGGTGGGAGGCTTGGGACGACAACTAGGCTTCAAGTAGCGGCTTGGGCTTGTCGGGGAGTTCTCGTTGAAATCGGAATGGGCGTTGTCTGAATGAGACTGTATAGCAGGTCGTGGAAGCAAGGTGTCGGTAGGCATCGTGCCACCTGCCTTGCTGAGAGCATACTCAACAAAGGTATAATTGAGGTCTTTATCCGACATGATACGACTGTTACTGCTGGATGGAGAAATGAGCCTGTTTATATCGCAAAGGTTAGCCGCGTCTTTCGAGTTAGTATCCGGAATCTAAGGCTCTGGAGGTTCGACTGCGGGTTCGCCGGGAGGTATCGTCAAGAATTGGATAGAGGCTGAGATCGAAATATATATACTCCCCAGAAACGGAGTGAATTGGGGTGGAATTGACGCGTGACACCTTTACCTCGAAGTCGCAACCAAAAATCTGAGTGAATTGGATATCGCATGACAGCAGCAAACGCTACAATGTCCCTATACGCCTCTTCAGTGGAGGAGAATGGTCAGCCGGGCTGTTGCCTTGTTTTGGCGTTTGAACACGCCGCAGTGAAAGGATTTTTATATCGGATTTTGGAGGAATGCCGTATATAAGGTTGACCTGAGTTGAGTAGGGTAGCATGTGAATTTAGTGAATGCGGTTGCTTGCTCGAATGGCAGAACAATATGATCCATATATAGGTAGAGGCGTGTATGCGACGTAGTCCATCTTCGAATTCCTGCCGTCGCCCTTTGGTCCAGTCCAGTGTGTGGGTTTGCGGATGCTGTATATATTGAACATGTCGTTCATTTTGATTAGATAGTCGTCTTACGCGGCGGATAAATGATTGTATATATGTGTCGAAAATCTTTGTTCATGGGGGGCGAATAGTTGCTTCAAATATCTTCCAGCGGTATCAGATACTCAAGATCATCGTTCATTATCACGATCATTGTGAGGTAATCGAAGTAACTCAAAACGTAATTTTCACTGCGTAGGCCGCTGTAGAGGCGATACAATGTTGTGACTCTCACTAGCAGGTGTATGTGGGATAGCTGCGCTACTCAAAACATCATGTGAAGATATCAGAAGCGCTATCCCCCAGAAGCACACTACCTGTCCTGGTATGACAATTCCCGATCGGTAGTTAGTTGCTTTTGGTATAGAAGATACGTTGCATAGTTCAAAGACTCTTCAATTCTGATTTGATCATCACAAATCCAAACATATCTTACAAAGCGCACATATTCGAATCACAAGCGGAAAAGTGTCTCGGCGTTATCTCACCCTACATAACAAGTCGCATTCCCACATTCCCAGACCGTCGCAACGACCATATTTGTATGCCAAGCGCTTTCTTACCACCCGTATTCTTATTCGGTAGCTCTCCCCGCCTTCTAAATAAAGATATCCGAGCAACGATGGTGAACTCGATAATCAGGGTCCTGTTATACGCGGAACTAACATCTACTACAGCACTTGGCCAGATGCTCCATCCCGGTATTCGGGATTACTTTAAGCGAATCTATACGCTCGCGGTCCTTCTCTTAGAGTGACAGTAGTACGGCAGTAAGAGCGCATCCCGATTGGACCTCCCAAAAGGGCTTGTATTGAAAATCTTTGGCTAAAAGAAAAGGGGAACATAGGTTTTGCCAGGGGACTCCCGAATGAGCCCCGTTACGACCAAGCGCACATGAGATAGATTAAACAAGTGGCGTGAAAAAGGACCCCATGGGGTGTTGGCGAGGCTAATAAATTAAGCTGCCAAGACTCGGGTAAGACTTGTCTTGGTAAATATTCCTCCGTCCGCTGCGCGAGCTAGATAGTATTCGGGCCTTATGGAGACGCGCGTTGTGGTAATCTAGATCCGACGAGCTAGTCAGACATCAGCTGTTCATGACATGTTCACACAGCCAAGTACATAGTAGCATCAACAAGACGAAGGGAGCAAACTGGTGTTCTTTTGGTGTTTGGAAAAAACATGCACTGCATGTATTAATATGTGCTGAGAAAGAAGTAGTATATACACTAAGAATCCAAAATCCAACAATTCAGACCATATATCTCAAACTCTCCAAGTCTCACATCGACCCCCTACTGACTCAGGATATAGGGCGTTTAGCAAGTCTTGATGGCGGAAGCGGTGTACTTGCAGTTGGCGGAAGGACCCTTGGAGACGGATGAAGGCTCCTTTCCGGGGGTGGTACCCTTGAACTCCTCGCAGATGGTCTTGACGGAGGTAGCGCAGGTGTTGGAGATGGTGGAGCTGTCACCGAAGTTGGGGTTGATGCCAGTCAGGACCTTTCCGCTGTAGGCCTTGACGTTCTTGACAACAACATGGCGGGTGACGCTGTTCTTGCAGTTACCGCAGGCACGGTAGAGCTTACCGAAGTCAACGGCGGCTGGAAGTAGTTAGTATTTGTAGTTCTCGGTGATGAAGAAGTAGTAGGGGGTGAACTTACTGAAGCCGTCAATGGTAACCGTACCCTTTCCGTTGTGCTGGATGACCTTATCAGCGGCAGCCTGGGCACCTCCGCCCCTGACCACAGCGTTACCGTCACCCTTGAGACTGAGAGCATCCTCGCAAACGTCGACCCACCAGACATTCTAGTTCAAAAGTCAGCTAATCATTCTAGCCCAGAATAGACAGATATCTTACCTCGATCGTGCAGGAACCCTCGCAGTGGACACCCTCGATCTGGTCCTTTCCAATGATGGCGTTCTTGAGAGTACCGCCGTTCTTGACGATGAAGACGGCGTCCTTGTCACCACCCTCAACCTGACCAGTGCAGCTGACACCACGGCCGTAGGTCTTCATGCCACCATCAAAGGTGCCACTGACGGCCTGAGGAGCCTTAAGGGTAACGGATCCCTTGGAGGCGGGGATGGGGAGAGAGGCGCGCTTGGCAAGGGTGAAGGCATCGTTGGGGGTGGGGGCAGCAGGGCCAGCGGCGGCGAGGCCAGAAGCAGCGGCAATGAGGGCGATGGAGAACTTCATTTTGATGGAGATTTTATTGGGTTGGGATGCTTTGGAAAAAGTGGTATATGCAGCACGAATAGAAACGAATTGAAGATATAGGGAGTGTGGTATGCGTCAAGCAAATAAAGGACTGAATGGATTCGGTGTTGGATGCCCTCTTCTTTATGGGGGTGTTTGTTGCACTTATACTCGTTTGACTGCCACTCCCGCTCTCCAGCAATTGCTCCGCGCGCGTTCCAGGTACAGACGGTGGAATGTCTCCCCAGTGGGGGTCGAGACCAAAGCGCAGCGCATCATGCGTCTGAATCAAAGAGCCTGAGGAGGTGCTTTGATTGGACGCCGCGCCTCACAGATGGCAGCTGTTTCGTGGAATGTAAATAGGGCATCGCGGCAATTGAAGTCGATTGGAGCTAGAAACAGACTGCCGCGCCGACGCTAGCCCGTGGAAAGATGCCAAGCTGTGTAGTGAAACGGTAGAGAGGTCCACCTCAATCCCATTCATCTGGGACGCCAAGGCGCGCGACGATTTCCGCTCTCTAGATAGAACGCCTGGCCAGTCAAGCAATTTTCCGCCACCTCCTCACGGTTGAAATTCAAGTCGTTCGCGACTCAAGGCGCGGGGCGGGTGGTCACACCAGAATGCACACTTGACCAAGTGAAGATTGTTCCGCTACACCTCCTTCCGTCCCTCCCTTCCTCCCTATCTTAGTGCCTCGTCGGTACCGAGTTCATTTAAGCTCAAAACTACGCAGTGTATCTTGGCATAGCGGACCTCGTATTACTGGTGGGGTAGACCATAAGGCTTCCACTTCTGCTCTGTCGATCCTGCAGCATCTCATCTACTATGCCTTTATGCGACTAGTGAAGCTTCTCCCAAGTACGTGCCGTGCGCTGTATCTGAATGACTGATTCCACACCGGATTCTGGATTATTTTCCGATAGGTCCAGATTCTTGTCTTGTGTTTGGCGCAATCTCACAATGCCATGGAATTATAGATTGGTGGCTGAATTCGCATAGGAAAATCTGTTTCCGCCTACGGGATTATGGCGTTTCATCACCAGGAGCTATGTTTCTCAATGTTTGGACGTTGCCGTGTGTCGACTCATGGGGCCGCGTGGCATAGAATTGTTTTTCAGAAGGACTAAAGGACATTAGGTGGATCAAATGTTGCAATGATGCTTGGATATGGCTGAGTAGTAGCATCCGTCCATAAGACTGATAGCCAAGGTGCCTGGCTGAGCACATTTTGCGGCAGTAGGCTGTCAAGGAGGTGGCGTTTCGAGTTCTCGCGAAGCCAGATATGTCACTCGAGACCCGTGCGTTTTCCACTGCAGAATGTCACGTGACAAACATGTCAAGGTGATCTCAAAGTTCCACAAGCCGCTGTCAACACTGGAAATATTGTGGAAGTACATGGTTGTTCTTTCAGGTATCGAAATTTGGAAGACAGGGGTCCTCATTTCGTCGGGGATCTTGCGTTCTATTACCAAGGTTCCACATTCTGAAATCTCAATGTACCCTGTACTCAAACACGGCTCTCGGACATGCTTGTTGGTTCCGTTGACGCATGCAGCTACCCGAAAACTGTGGGCAATAAGTAGAACCCGCCCTGCCAAGCAAATTCTTGGTGGAGTCTAAACAAGAGCAGTAAGTAAACCGCTACCCAGGTTTTCTTTGAGATTCGTCATGCAAACGATGAAAATCATGAAGGATCATGAATACTAACAAATCTCATCAGTATAGGACGGCTACGCAGCGATCTTTTTGATTCTGCCTTGTGTCTTTGGCGGAATTACTTGGACGCGTAGGCACTCATTGTCACAACCTCCAATTTCTTGGCTCATACGTATGTAAAGATTTCATGTAGATCGGGCCTTTCCACTCTAAAATGGGGTGCATCGTCCGGTAAATAGTTAATTTAAAGTTGTTATCTGCGCATCATCGTGTAGGCCATCTCACTGGCTGCCTTACCGTCTCTATAATTTTCCCCGGCAAACCTGCCAAACAATTATTTCCCACATCATGCTGTACGTACGTCGTTGCCAAGAGGTCTCTTCATCTCAATGTCTACATAAGTATAGGGGAAGCATCTCTTGATGTTCCATGTTGGAGATGGCTTGGTTTCCTCGAACGATCTTCCGAATAAAGAGAAATGCTTCCTCTCTCTTCTCTCAGAGATTTCACAGACAGACATCCATGCTCAAAACCATTCTGTCATATTGAGACATACGACCGTATACTATGGCATAAAGGTTCACTTTGCTTGCGTCCTATTCGTAAGTAGGAACGTACTTCCAGAATCTTGAAATCATCTGTTGAAAAAAAATGCCCGTTGAGAAAACGCACAAACCCAGTGGCAAGGAGCGGACAAAATCGGGATCAGTAAGCGTAACAGCAGATCGAAGATCGCAGAATGGGTCTGGCCAGTCAAGGCGTGTAAATGAGTCATAACGAGCAATTTCATCACCTCCTTGAGCTCGAAAAAAGTCGTAGCTTGACGTGTCTATGCTCCGGCCACCCTGCCCCGTGCCTTCCTTTCCCAAGACTTATTTCTGAGAGCACACGACAGACTTGCTAGCAATCATGACGATAGCCAGAAAAGAAAAGAAAAAAAACTTTGCTCTTTCGCCGCTACATACACGCAGTCGGCCGCTAATTTCCGCACCAAGTACTGCAAATCAGACATGCACAAACCCTCCCCTCCCCTCCCCCCCTTTTGCTTGCTCAATCAAAGAAAAAAACACCCTCTAACCCATCTTTTCCCCGAGAAATATAAAGGATTCATCAGTTGCAAAGCAGAAAAAAATGGACCATGACATCAAGTACAACAAGTGCGAAGTGAATTTTAATTTCACATATCGAACAGGGATGGCCCCGTTATCGATGCCACCCGCCAACCAGGTTTAAATCCCCTCCCCCTCCAAACAAACAAACAAACTTTAACACTGATTTATTTTCCCGCAGCCTATAGTCTGCCTCTCTCTTTCTCTCTCTGTAAAGTATGCCATGTATATCTCCCTCAATCCCAGTTTTGTGCTTCATTCGCAGTAAGAAACCCCCGCCCCCCGTCTCTCTCTTACCCAATAAACGATATCGTACTTGATTTCCTTTTTCATTTGTGACTACATAGACTCACACACCCGTCTTCGGTCTACCATACGGCTCCGAATCCGGCGGGAGGTACTGCGGACAGATACGAAACGGGATGGCGCCCTGTGACGCGAGGTAGCGCTTGTACTTGAGTGCTTTGCCGAGGACTTGTGCTTGGTTGATGCCGAATTCTTTTTGGATGCGCACCATGCATTTTGCGACAAAGTCTTGGCTCGAGGGCGAGGCGATGGGCATGGAACCGGCCTTTGGAAAGGTTAGAAAGGGGAAAAAAAATAAAACGGAATTAGTAAGAGGTGGTGGGGGAATGTAGAGGGGGGGGAGAAGGGGAATACGTACAACATAGAGTGCCCATACGGTTGAGTAGCCGCCTGCTACGCGGACGATGGGGAGACGGTCTTTGACTGAGCCGGTGCCGATGAGGGCTTTGACGACGCCTGATGGCATACCCTTGAAATTTTGATCGAGGGTCTTGAGAGCGGTCTGGAACTCTGCAGGTGAGTTTGGGGGGGTTTTGGGGGAAGCTGCGGTTGCGGGTGATGCGCTGAGTTCATCGCCGACAGACGTTGGTGTTGACTTGTTGCTGGTGTCATCTGACACTTCGCTTGGTACTTCGCTAGGTACGTCATGGAGGAATTGCGGCATACCAGCTAGAATATCTGATTGTAAACTGTACAAGGTACGGACGCTTGTTTCTAGTTGTTCGTGGTACTTTGATCCGACGAGGGCTGGTGGTGTAGACGCGAAGCCGGCTAGTATACAATTTCGGATAATGTCATGAAAGTATATTCTGTTGTAGCGCACCCAGTTCCATGTCTGAGCAGCTATCGCCGTGTAGTAGACATGGTAGAAGTGGTCGAAGATCTCGGGTCGCTTCTCGCATAGGACAATATCGTAGTCCCATTCTGGTCCTGAGTCTTTGAAGATATTGGCTGCAATGTTATCGAGCTCAAGCGCTGACTCTATGATTTCGGGTAGTGAGTGGGTTTGCTGGTTCAATATGCGTGCTCGAAGGTCAATGGTTTTGATGTGGAGAAAGAAGAAGCGGTTTCTAGGGTCATTGGTGTCCAAGTGCTTTATGACTTCAGTATTGAGGTCGTGAACAAATTTGGGAAGGGGCATGCCCTTTCCCATGCAGTTCATGGTAAGAAGGCCAACAGTATGGAGGTACATGCGCTGCCCAGCTGGGGTTGAAAACTGGTCCATGCCTCGCATCTTGATGAGAGAGGCAGCACCTTCGACATGATTGCTCCACCCTTGCAAACTATTCTCATTCGAAGTCGCTTCAACCATGCCCAACAGATTAATGGATGCGAGGGTGCTATCGGCTGTGACAGCTGTAGGGGACGATATGGCGGCGTTTGTCATCTTGATGGCATCCAAATACCAGCGAGTGGCTTCACGCTTTAGGCGAGGGTCCATGTACAGATTTGCTATTCCAGCGATGCCCAAAGCTGTCATGGATGTGGAGACCAATGGATGGAAGCCATGGGTCGACAGATGTTTCGAGTATTCATCGGACTGTATAGGCGGCTGATCAACGCCAAGCGTATAGTATGACATGAAGAACGAGATTCCTTGATCGATGAGTGACGCTGTTACAGCCGGCGTTGGCGATAATTGGGCTATTATGTGCAGGTAAGCTTCCCGCAAATTACGCGCCTCGATTTCATCCTGAGCATCACGAGCCGCAATAGCTTTTGCCTTTGATTTCTTTGCCTTTGCCTGAATATGGGCTGTTTCATCGTGGAAGAAGTTGTCGATGTTGCGATCGTACCCTGGGCATTGGAGATGGCGATCAGAGCATTTGACGCAGCCACCGGGGCGCTCATCACACTATGGTTTCGATCGGGTAAGTGTCTTGCATTCAAGATGGACCGAGCTCACGGCCTAGTACGCACTTTAATTCTACGCTCACGACATTTTTTGCACCCAGTAGAAGGCCGGCCACGATACACCATACTGACAGCTCCTGAGCTTGAGAACGTGCTTTCGTATAGTACTTTGAACAGATACGATGGGGATATTAACAAACAACTGGAATATTTCCACCAAGAGATAGACTGCGAGAGCCGTCACAAGGCTGAAGGATGGTTTACAGGCACATGGTATAAGGCTTAGTTGTTGATGTGGCTGTGCAGGGGCCATGGTGGGCGGTGACCGGAAGGCCCGAAGACAAAGCCTCTTGGGTACGCACGTCAGATACCGTTAAGATGGAAGGCCTAACACTAAAAATATGTTGTTTGTCGTATCAGTGGCGATGGGGTGTTGGTGTTGCCTCTATCAATTTTGGATAGAACAAAGGTAAAGTGGAAGTTGTTTCTATTCGAAGCAAAGTCAGTAGTTCTTCGGCTCGTCCACACCGTCCAAACAATGAATATAAACATTTTAATTTTAGCTTACGTCATCGAATAACCAAAAGGCGTTGTGGCGGAGTGGTTATCGCGCAAGACTAGAAATCTTGTTCCTTCGGGAGCGTCAGTTCGAATCTGGCCAACGTCGTTCTTTTTCTTTTGCGTGTTGAACATTCTAACGAGTCAGACATGTATACTTTTTTTTTGGCCTAATTAAGGTTCTTTCCGTTGTCGCGGGGTTATTAGTTTGAGTTTTCCCGATAGGTATAATTTATCGTCCTGGTCATAGTGATAATGAGAATATTAATATTTATAATAAGAAGAATAAAAAGAAGAAGAAGAGGTATTGATTATATCGATAACACACAAAACCTTGGCTATAGTCGTATAATAAGTAAGAGTAATAAGTACAAAAGTAAATAGGCATATGACCTCATGCTATACTTGTTATACCCAAGAGAATGTTTGAAACCTACTACTAACTAGTACTATCCACCATGACTAAACCTGACCATCACACACGCCAGCATGACAGTACTTTCCGCAACCTTGTTCCCAAGTCCACGCATTAACATGAGTAGTACTTTTATCATCATCATTGTGATCATCATTGCCATCATCGTCTTCATGTCTCTTGGCTTGATGATGACTCCAAACCCCATTTCCACACTCGTAAATGCAAGTGCAGTACTCTGAGGCGTCGTCCTGGCGGGTGCACAGGGAGCGATCGCCTGTCTGTTTCGCGTACAAGGCACCCAGACTGCCTATGGAGATGTCTGTGCGGGTGTCAGATAATAATCTGTGTTTGATAATAATAGATTCGGGGAGTGATGGAAAGGGTCTGGTTAATTGGTTGGGGGGGGGGGGGGCGAGTAATGTTGTGTCTGTGTGTGTGGAGGGAAGGGAAAGACGCACTGAAGTTCTGCATGAGTTCCCAACCACACGCTTTCTTCTTCTGGGGTGTTTTGGGGGTGTCTGCGATAGAGGCCGAGACAAGGGAGAGTGATAGGAGTAGCATTGCGATCAACATGGTTATGGAGAGTGGATGCTTCATGGTTTGTGGGTGATGGCTGTGGAGAAGAAGAAAAAGAGGCGAATACATGTGGAAGGTTTCAGGGTTAGTCGCAGCGTTGGAAGGTGTTTGGCGTTGGGTTTGCTTCTTTTACCGGCGAGTAGAGCATGTTCATGGGAGGTGGTGTTTGCACGCACACGTGGCTAGTTGCAGGCCGTGCAACCAAGCCACAACGGTGTGAAGAGACGTGCATTGAATATCGTCGTCGTCGTATCAAGGCGTTATGTGTCACTTGGCAATCGCACGGTTATCACGGGAATGGTTGATATGTGGACCAATTGGAAGTGGTATCTGCGTAAGACCAAGTATTTCATTCATACAAGTATCCCATAATTATATGATCATCAACTGGTCAATGTGATACCCCGAACGCCTCGCTATGCAAATGGGTATCAAAAGGCTGTCTCTAGCCAGCACGAAAACAAAAGACAAAAACGGCATAGAGGTGAAATCAGAACCATGCAAGACTCCAGAGCGCGGGCATGTTTGGCCAGCGCTCTTGCCATGTGGCGAGAATCTCCGGCACACGCTCGTCAAAGCCAGAACGAGCAGCACCGCCACCAGACTGCCATCCGCTGTCACCATGTATCTCTCGCTCTTTGGCAGCAGCTTCATTCAGACTGAGAGCAAGATCTAGGATAGCTTTGCCGCCAACAAGGGCTTCCTCGTGGTTGTCCTTGATGTCGACATTGAAGACATGCACAGGACGGTTGAGCTTTCCGCCCTTGTTATGTAGATCCTCGAGCACAGCATCAAAACAACGTTCTTCACAGGTGATGACGACGTCAACTACTCCAGCCTCAGTACCTTGGGAGCCCTTGTCCTCAGCGTGGTCAAGGCGAGGCTTGCCGGGTACCCAGTCCTGGAAGCGCTCAGGGTAACCCTTGATGTTTAAATTACGACCCAACATGTTGAGCAGGCCATTGTTTGTGTACAGAGCGGTGTTTTGCTCGGCGAGCTCATCATGGATGGCACGGTACGTGGTGCTATTAAAGTGATACACATTGGGCTGGGTAATGGTCGGCCCGGGCAGACGCACGAGGGAGCCGGTACCGAAGCTGATAGTTGGAAGATGGGCTGATGCCAGCTGGAGATGAGCTTCCATGGAGCTGGCCAAGTTAGGATCAAGGTGTGAGAAGAGCAAACGCATGTACATACCGATTCTGATTACTAGCACATACGGTGCAGAACTTTAGCTTGAAACTGTTGTCGGGGACTACATTCGGGTCTGGCTGGGTGTCACCGGCACCGTCCATGCCCATAGGCTGGGGCTCGGCGGGCGGGGGCGGAGGAGGTGGAGGCACAGCTGCAGGCGTCGCCTGTTGTTGCTGCTGCTGCTGCTGCCTCGCGCGTAGTCGTGGGTCGGCCGACATTATTATTATTTTTTTCGCGTCTTTGGGCGCAGCTCTGCAAATTCTTCACCAGAGTCAGTCGTGCTTCTACATGTGTGTATGCAGTAACGGTGGCAGTGATCACGCGAGGTTCAGAATTTTCAGTGTATATTATTATTGAGAGTCCTCAAAGGCTAGTGCCTAGGACAGCTCCAATATGTGTTCATCATCTCACAGGCAGGGCGGGCAGCGGGAAGGGGCGGGCGCAAGGGAGGGGGAACTGGAGACGTACAGTATACAGGAGGAGTGGTCCAGGTCATAGCCTCTGACACGCAAAGGCTGAGGTTGAGGCCAAAGGGGGTTGCTGTGGTGGTGGTGGATGTTTGCTTGTGAAAGGCACGAAGCCAGTGGAGGAGCAAGCTTTGTCGAGCTCGCACTCGCACTCAGCAGGTCATTGTGCCTGTAGCGGGGCTGACTAAGCGGGCCGTGCTGGGGGCTACGGGCAGGTGGGGCAGGCCGAGCAGCATGCGTCACGCACTCGCAAACGGCGCAATGGAGGGGCTACACAGTAAAGTCAGTACTAATGCTGCTACTACGACTGTCATGACTACTGCTAATACTACTAACGACTGCTAGTAAGTTGCCATGATGCTACCGGCATGCAAGTATACCATGGCCGCCGAGTACTTACTGTACCCAAGTATGCCGTGGGCCCGGCGCGGTGCCATGGACATGGGCCTCGCTTGCTGTTCCTGGACCTGGACGCTGTCGCTCTCGGCCGGGCGGGCTTGTTGGGCATGGTGAGATTGTGCTGGGTAGGTAGGTATTGCGCAAGCAGGCCATCTGTGGCCCGATCAGGACGCGGCGCGGCTCGGCCTGCCTGTCAGACAGCGTGCCCGGACAGGGACGTGGAGATGCAGCAACACAGGCAGACCAGACAGGCTATGCGTTTGGGCGTCTTTTGGCAGCGTGACAGCATACGGTGAAGGCTGGCCAGGGAAGTTCCTCGCTGCCGTCGCAGCACAAGACGGCGTAGGTCGTCTGCAAGCAGCTAGCCCCCCCGCGCCTGAAACAATCTAGAGGCCAACAGGGCTAAGCCGGAGCGGTTTGCACGCCTCCAAGGCTGAACACACGCAACAACTCACACGCACGCACGCACGCAGACACACAGACACACAGGCACAGCCCCTCGTCCATGCTGCCGGCTAGTACCATCCCGCCCACCACACTCGTCCTACATGGCATGAACCATTGCGCTGCTGCTCCTCTGCTACTACATCCACCTCGTCCACGCCCACGTCCACGCCCACGCCCACCACCACATGGCTCTGGACGCCCGCAGCGCCTTGGACTGATTCTGAAACGCAGAACCGGCGTCTAGCATGTCCCCCGCCAGCCCGTCCCAAAAATAGAGCATCTGCACCCATTCCCAACCCGCCTTCGTCCACCACGCGCCGCTCCACTGACTGCACTCGACGCTGTGTCCTCGCTCCCTGCCGAGACACTCCCGAAGCCTCGACATTATCCGTCAGGCGCGCAACTGTTGCATCCTTCACTGCCAAGCCCTAGCGCCAGTCCTGTGCCTGCACCCCCACAACCCCATCCACTCCTTCTCCAGCCGCTTCACTGCCCAAACATTCTTCTCCCACACGGACCCTCCCCCCAATCGCCACGCCCGCCTCTCCCAAGCCCTCGAGTGCGCCCGCCAACCCATTGGCCATCGCCCGCCTTCTCCCCTCCACACGCCTACCTGGTTCCACTCGCGCCGCCATCTCCCACAACCGCTCCCGGCCCAGCCTCAGAGCCCTCATCTCTGGCTCGCTCCAGCCCTGCGTGTGCGCCTCGCTCCCTGGTCCACTCAGCGCCAATTGCGCCGGTGCTCTTGTGTGCTCATTCCCGATTACGCCAACTTTATCCGTCTGGTGCGCCGCCTTGCTGCCCGCACTGCCCGCACTACCCACTACACTGCCTTCTGCTGCGCTTCCAGCAGTCCATATAGACCATCGCTGACGATTCAGTCTCGACTCTAACCTCCCCTCCCTTCCCCCCCCCCAAAAAAAATCTATTGCGCATGACCGACACCGGCACCGCTCCAGACACGCCTGTCTACACTCAACGGCTAGACGAACCCACGGAACCGGCTGCAGCGCGCGCACATCAGCCTGACCAAAATATGGCTGCCGATGTCCTATCCCCACGTAGCGACCCGAATGCTGCGCAGGCAGGCGTGAACCGCACCTCACTACCCCCACTCGTCACCTCCCCGCCTTCCAAGGCCAAGCTTGAGCGCGCCAGTTCCTACCTCAACAAGCGCCTCTCAACCTTCTCAAACATCTCAAACACATCAAACACACACCAGTCGGTACGCTCACGGCCGCAATCAACCGCCTTTCCCATCTTCCACTCGAGCCTGCCCTACTCACTGGTGCGCGACTTTGCTTACGACCCGCTCCATCCTCTGTTCTACGGTCCCCTCCCGGAACAGCCATCAGACATATCCACCCCCGCAAGCGAGCATAGCCGGAGACTTTCGGACCCACCCCCGGTAGCATGGCGCAACGAACGAAGCGGTTGGTCAGCGGGGTCGTGGGATGAAAAAGAAGGCGAACAACTCCCCCAGACCTCGTACGACGGAGGCCCACCATATAGCGAGGACGAAGACATCTCCAGCCCCGTAGTCACTAGCCACCACGGCGCACGACACAAGAAACACAAGTCCAACATTGTCAACTTTGATCACACACGCGGGCGAAGAGGATACCCGGAAGAACAACGGCGTAGCTCCATTCTGCCCCTCAATGGCGACAGCAGCCAATTCGGCAATGGCAACGACGATACTGCTAATGGTTCTAGCAGCGAGTACATCACATACCCGCCAGAGTCATCCCGACTTGGCGTCCCCGAAGGTGCGTCGCGGCGTGATTCCCATTTTGCGACAACCCTACCACCACGTGCCTATGCCGACGCCGATACAGCTCTCCAACAAGGCCCACCATACGATTCAGACGACGACATGTCCGAGCCTGAAGACTACATATACGACGACAGCCGCTTCTCACGCGATTACCAGTTTACCATTGCTTCACCCGATGAGGAGATGCACGGTAAGGCAGTTGCCTTATTCGACTTTGCCCGCGAAAACGATAACGAGCTACCATTGGTAGAAGGCCAGGTCATTCTAGTATCATACAGACACGGTCAAGGCTGGCTAGTGGCCCAAGACCCAAAGACCGGGGAGAGCGGTCTAGTACCTGAGGAGTACGTGCGCCTACTCCGCGACATCGAAGGAGGCTGGAACGGCCTAGTAGGTGCTATTCATTCGCAAACCGAATTACAACTTCCCGAAGGCAAGCACGGACCAGAAAGTCTGTTGAGCCCCGTTTCTGCTGGGCCAGAAGCCAAAACGCCCACACAGGCTGATCATCCTCAGAACTATACTCCGGTCATATCGACCTTCTCAACTAGCCACAAGGACCTTGAAAAGTACCCCACGGAAAGGCTTGGAACACCCACTACTACCGAGGGTAGTGTCTTTCCACGAAGCAAAGAGGGTGGCGCTATGGAGGGTGTAGAGACGACCCCGGAACCGCAGTCTCAAGAACAGAGGTTGTGACT